CTAGATTGGGAAAGGAATAGGGATTAGGGTTTTGGGTATGATAAGGGTGTATGAAAGGAGTTGGGATTTTTGTAGGAGTTGATAGGAACATGGAATGGGGGGGATTTTATAGCTGTTTCTGTGACTTCTGTTTTATGAATGGTACTCGTGGAGAATGTTTGGCTTTGTTTGTGGCATGTTGTTGAATAATTGTACCGTTGGTGGGCTAGGATTTTTTTTTTTTTTGGGTTTTAGCAAAACAAAGTTGCAATTACATCTGCTTTAGGACTTCCAAAGGACTTAAAAAAAATATAAAGCAGCGTGGAGTTGAAGAATAGGAAAGGAGAAAAGAAAGAGAAGAAAGGGGGGAGAAGCCTAGGCATCACTTCATCGTTAGGCCTCACAATTTGACAATTAGTCACTATGTGATTGTGCCTACAAATCACTACTTGTCCTCTTTTCAAAACATGGCTAATACCCCAATGGTTCAAAGTGTTAGACGATACTAATATGACTTCATGAGTTGTATCTGGAATGAGGCCTTTCATTTTGACAACCCGTTCCGTGTAAATCACGAGTTGACTCTCGTGGTTGACTCAAAGAAGTGTTGGAAAACTCAACTGAGTTGTCCAAGTCATGACTATTGTAGGATTAATTTGTTGGAAAAGTCCTGTTATTAATTTGACTATATTCTCTCTTGCATATGTTTAGATTGTGATTCTTTGATTCATATACAGCATTCAAGTGTTGGTGTCAGGCCTGTTGGCAATACGATGTGGATTTCCCTCTGTTTTCACTTCTTGATGGTGATGTCATGTGAGATCAGTTTATGTGTTTCGGTTCGTATTAGATGCCTATATTTTTATGCAGATTTTTTTTGTCTGAGATGAATGTGGCATTTAATGCAGATCTTTCTTGAATTCTGCCTTCGAGCTTTTATTGAGAGTTTGGGCCACGTCACGGGATCTTAAGGTTTGCATCTTTTTTTTTTCATCTCCTACCCATCACCAGTTATATTTTTGTTCTTTGGATTACGTATGTACTTATTAGCTTTTGAATTCTAGCATTTGTTGTACTTTGAAAAGTAATGTTTTTTCAGGCCATGTGCCTGACATTCCACCTCTAGTTTTGTTTTGCATATGAAGGGGATCATGTTTGCAGAGTATGTTTTCAAAAATGTGGCAATAGGACCCCATTGACATGTGCTCACTTGAGTAATATAGTACAGTTAATTGCAGCAATCCCCTAATTTTGTTTGTTGGTATGACTTGCAATTTTGTTATGAATTTATGATGGAACTGTTTTTTGTTGATTGAACCTTAACTAGTGCCACATGAATTTGAGCTTTGAAAAGACCGAAAATTATGCAGGCAAGAACGTACTCTATAGTTTAAAAAGCAGGTGTACCATGATTTGGTATTTTCTTGGGCAACTTATATAAAGATTTAGCTCTTTTCTAACTTTCTCATTGAGCTAGATTTTTCAAAGGTCGGTCATGACAGTTCTTTATTTCCCATTGTATTCTAGATAAGCCATTTGTATTGTAGACTATGCCATAGGCAGTAGGCGGTGTGTTAGTATAATAAGGTAACCCTATCGCACATGAGAGCCAAAAGCTCAATAAGACCGAAGAGTGACTTCCTGACCTAGAAGAAACTCATGCCAAAAAAAGGACAATGGCAAGCAAGACAAACTTGCCAAAAGCTTCAAGGGCAAACAATTTTGTGCTTCTATACTAAACCTGCTTCCTTCCATTGACTACATGTGTTACAAGTAGGTACTGCTAGGCCAAGGTACTTTGTTATGGTGGCTGGCTGATTACAAATCTTAACAATATGAGGAAATATATTGAAAAGCAAAAACTGGTAGAATGAATTGGAATTTTGCAGAGTAAATTATGTGGCTTAGACTTTAGCGGGGGCTTGAGGGCATCGTTGTCATTTGATATGGGTTCAAGACATTGTTGAAAATATTTATCAGAAAATAGAAGTAAACTTGGCAGTTCAAAACAAATCATGGTATCATGTTGACTTCTTTAATTTTTAATTCAGTTTGACGACTAAATGTTCCTTTTTGTGTGGAAGTATAGCTATGGATGACATCAAGACACATCTAACTTTTAAGAAAAATTGTTCTATTTTTTGATTCGTTGTGGGTACTATTGTCAAAGCTAGTTTTGAGCCAATATNAACCAGAATCTGAAGGGTTGGGTCAGAGGGCTTATATATCCTAGAAATAGTGAAGAGCTTGGAAATGAAAGTCTCTAAAATCATTAGAATTGAAGTCTAGAATGCATTATGATATGGGGTGCTGTACCTCTTTCACCCTGAAAATGTATTTGTATTACATTGTTGCTTGTTTGCTACTAATGGGAAATAAATAAAAATGACGGGAAACTTGATAAGCNCTGGCTGATTACAAATCTTAACAATATGAGGAAATATATTGAAAAGCAAAAACTGGTAGAATGAATTGGAATTTTGCAGAGTAAATTATGTGGCTTAGAATTTAGCGGGGGCTTGAGGGCATCGTTGTCATTTGATATGGGTTCAAGACATTGTTGAAAATATTTATCAGAAAATAGAAGTAAACTTGGCAGTTCAAAACAAATCATGGTATCATGTTGACTTCTTTAATTTTTAATTCAGTTTGACGACTAAATGTTCCTTTTTGTGTGGACGTATAGCTATGGATGACATCAAGACACATCTAACTTTTAAGAAAAATCGTTCTATTTTTTGATTCGTTGTGGGTACTATTGTCAAAGCTAGTTTTGAGCCAATATTAGTTTGTCTCATAGTTACCAAAATTCAATAAATCCCTGACGACCCATGATTTGGGTACATACTAATCCTAAATTATTTCGCTTTAGAATATGTAGCACATATATAAAATATATANCGCAACTCTTGCAAAGACGACTACCACAGTTCTGTTTTGTTCCAATCCTCTAGAAACAACTAAGTGGAAGGGGCAGTGTAAANTGCAACACTTGCAAAGACGACTACAACAGTTCTGTTTTGTTCCAATCCTCTAGAAACAACTAAGTGGAAGGGGCAGTGTAAAATCAACTTGACAAGCAGTTGTCATGGAGGGATGGTGGAGAAANATAATTGTATATTATTTTAGATAGTAGAAAATCGAGCACAAATGTAAGATAAATGATAACTGACTTGGTGTTCATGGATGTTCTATGATATAGAATGTCGTATATAGTAGTGAAAACAATCTAGANAAATCAACTTGACAAGCAGTTGTCATGGAGGGATGGTGGAGAAAAAGGAGTAGAAGGGGTAGTTCGCTGGAATTTCTTTCTTTTCTTTGTTGAATTTTATTTCATATCTATTCTGATCCAAATATTTTAATCACTGTATTTGAATATTAATGGACTGTATCTGGTAGACACTCTCACACAAAACTCTCTATCTCTCCCCCTCCCTCTTTATGCTGTGCTTGTTTAACGTTCCTATATTTTGTTTTTTTGCTTTCCTAGATGATGGAGGAAATATTTCTTCATCTTTCGGGGCCACATTCAGCTCTTCCAGCTATGGTTCAAATACTTGCAGACTTCGCTTCTTTTGATGGTTTGTTATTACACTTCCTCTTTTTTGTCGCAGTTTGATCAGATTGCGTGGTTTTGTGTTTTTGGGTTGATTCCAATTTTTGTGCTTAAACTAAGTTTCTGCTGCATCATCAAATTTTAATTTGAAGCTTTGCAGTTCACACCTCAACTTAAAGGCGTACTTTCACGAGTTCTTCCCATCCTTGGAAATGTGAGGGATGTCCACCGGCCAATTTTTGCAAATGGTAGAATGGTTGTTTTGGTTTTACTATTTGAATTGTTTACATATGGTTGTAACTTTATGGCACTTTCTTGTATTTTGCTGCATTATTGTAATTTTAGATAAGGGCAGTATGTTGGCTATCTTGAATGTAATCAAATCTTGATGGCATTCAAGCTTAACTATGGCATGCAAGCTTAGATTCCTTTCTTCCAAGCTACTTGAATTTTCTTTTTGGAATTACTCTCTCCAAGGGACCTTTCTTTATGTTGGTTTTTGAAGAGTGTTGACGCAGGTTGTTACTTAAGGCACCAAGACGAAATAAAATCGACTAGATTGGGAAAGGAATAGGGATTAGGGTTTTGGGTATGATAAGGGTGTATGAAAGGAGTTGGGATTTTTGTAGGAGTTGATAGGAACATGGAATGGGGGGGATTTTATAGCTGTTTCTGTGACTTCTGTTTTATGAATGGTACTCGTGGAGAATGTTTGGCTCTGTTTGTGGCATGTTGTTGAATAATTGTACCGTTGGTGGGCTAGGATTTTTTTTTTTTTTGGGTTTTAGCAAAACAAAGTTGCAATTACATCTGCTTTAGGACTTCCAAAGGACTTAAAAAAAATATAAAGCAGCGTGGAGTTGAAGAATAGGAAAGGAGAAAAGAAAGAGAAGAAAGGGGGGAGAAGCCTAGGCATCACTTCATCGTTAGGCCTCACAATTTGACAATTAGTCACTATGTGATTGTGCCTACAAATCACTACTTGTCCTCTTTTCAAAACATGGCTAATACCCCAATGGTTCAAAGTGTTAGACGATACTAATATGACTTCATGAGTTGTATCTGGAATGAGGCCTTTCATTTTGACAACCCGTTCCGTGTAAATCACGAGTTGACTCTCGTGGTTGACTCAAAGAAGTGTTGGAAAACTCAACTGAGTTGTCCAAGTCATGACTATTGTAGGATTAATTTGTTGGAAAAGTCCTGTTATTAATTTGACTATATTCTCTCTTGCATATGTTTAGATTGTGATTCTTTGATTCATATACAGCATTCAAGTGTTGGTGTCAGGCCTGTTGGCAATACGATGTGGATTTCCCTCTGTTTTCACTTCTTGATGGTGATGTCATGTGAGATCAGTTTATGTGTTTCGGTTCGTATTAGATGCCTATATTTTTATGCAGATTTTTTTTGTCTGAGATGAATGTGGCATTTAATGCAGATCTTTCTTGAATTCTGCCTTCGAGCTTTTATTGAGAGTTTGGGCCACGTCACGGGATCTTAAGGTTTGCATCTTTTTTTTTTCATCTCCTACCCATCACCAGTTATATTTTTGTTCTTTGGATTACGTATGTACTTATTAGCTTTTGAATTCTAGCATTTGTTGTACTTTGAAAAGTAATGTTTTTTCAGGCCATGTGCCTGACATTCCACCTCTAGTTTTGTTTTGCATATGAAGGGGATCATGTTTGCAGAGTATGTTTTCAAAAATGTGGCAATAGGACCCCATTGACATGTGCTCACTTGAGTAATATAGTACAGTTAATTGCAGCAATCCCCTAATTTTGTTTGTTGGTATGACTTGCAATTTTGTTATGAATTTATGATGGAACTGTTTTTTGTTGATTGAACCTTAACTAGTGCCACATGAATTTGAGCTTTGAAAAGACCGAAAATTATGCAGGCAAGAACGTACTCTATAGTTTAAAAAGCAGGTGTACCATGATTTGATATTTTCTTGGGTAACTTATATAAAGATTTAGCTCTTTTCTAACTTTCTCATTGAGCTAGATTTTTCAAAGGTCGGTCATGACAGTTCTTTATTTCCCATTGTATTCTAGATAAGCCATTTGTATTGTAGATTATGCCATAGGCAGTAGGCGGTGTGTTAGTATAATAAGGTAACCCTATCGCACATGAGAGCCAAAAGCTCAATAAGACCGAAGAGTGACTTCCTGACCTAGAAGAAACTCATGCCAAAAAAAGGACAATGGCAAGCAAGACAAACTTGCCAAAAGCTTCAAGGGCAAACAATTTTGTGCTTCTATACTAAACCTGCTTCCTTCCATTGACTACATGTGTTACAAGTAGGTACTGCTAGGCCAAGGTACTTTGTTATGGTGGCTGGCTGATTACAAATCTTAACAATATGAGGAAATATATTGAAAAGCAAAAACTGGTAGAATGAATTGGAATTTTGCAGAGTAAATTATGTGGCTTAGACTTTAGCGGGGGCTTGAGGGCATCGTTGTCATTTGATATGGGTTCAAGACATTGTTGAAAATATTTATCAGAAAATAGAAGTAAACTTGGCAGTTCAAAACAAATCATGGTATCATGTTGACTTCTTTAATTTTTAATTCAGTTTGACGACTAAATGTTCCTTTTTGTGTGGACGTATAGCTATGGATGACATCAAGACACATCTAACTTTTAAGAAAAATTGTTCTATTTTTTGATTCGTTGTGGGTACTATTGTCAAAGCTAGTTTTGAGCCAATATTAGTTTGTCTCATAGTTACCAAAATTCAATAAATCCCTGACGACCCATGATTTGGGTACATACTAATCCTAAATTATTTCGCTTTAGAATATGTAGCACATATATAAAATATATATTAATTGACTACGTGTATATGAATTTATAATTGTATATTATTTTAGATAGTAGAAAATCGAGCACAAATGTAAGATAAATGATAACTGACTTGGTGTTCATGGATGTTCTATGATATAGAATGTCGTATATAGTAGTGAAAACAATCTAGATAAGAGTTCCAAAATGAATTACGACCTAAAATACTGTAGCTGCTAAACCTACCGCCATCGTATCACGTACCGAAGAAAGTATTGTATCACGTACCCGTAGCATGTATCAAAACAACGCACGATCCAGGTAACATTGGTTTATCTTAGTTGATGCTACTCAGATTGGTTTATAATTAGGTTTTAGAAGACCCCACCCCCACCCCCACCCCCACNATTTTGACTTTTGAAATGAATCTCCAACCATCAAATAAGTTGAGGGGTGTTGCCTTTTGAGTTCAATTCGAGAAGATGGAGATGAATCTGAGTCACTTCACTTGGGACAAGAGGATATAGCATTTATTGCTAAGAAGTTCAAAAAATATTTCAAGGCTAAAGGTGTTGAGTCTTCTATGTTGATGGGCAAGTCGAGTAGACCTAGGGTTTTGAAGCAAGAAAGAGAGGATAAAATGGGTATTAAAAATCAACAAGGAGCTGAAAGGGCTCCAGTGCTTTGAGTGCAATGGGTCTAGTCACTTGGCTATGAAAATTCCCTAATGGAAAGAAGAAAGACATGCTCAAAGAGAGGAGGTGAGCAGTGAAAGCAAAATAGAGTGATAGAGATACTGAGTCCACATCAAGTGCGGATTCATATTCTCAAGATGATGAGAAGAATTTTATAGAATTCGTTGGTTCATATTCCTCCCTTTTTTTCATATTCCTCCCTTCACCCCCACCCCCACCCCCACCCCCCTAAAAAAATAAAAACTCAAACTCTGTCCATCTCAAAATGGTGTTACTTGTTCAACATTGTTTTCCCCTGCACTTGAGAGTTAACTTTTTTTTTTTTAATCCAGAGATTAACGAGGTTCCGTTATATGATCTAGTTTTGTTTTGACGACAGGTTCGCACATCTACCATTGAAGCATTGGGTCAGATGGTTGGTCTTATACCCCGAATACAGCTGAAGGCAGCTTTGCCAAGGCTTGTGCCTACTATATTGGACCTGTATGATAGATCCTACTTCATGATGCTTGAAACTAGATATTCTAGATGATATATCTATCTATGCATATATAATGTTATGCGATAACATTATATATATATAGCATGTAGAGTATTTACATGTGACTACAATAGTATATGTGCATTTGCACGTGCTTGCTGTGCTTGTGCAATGGTCTGTTGGGAGAACCAAAGATTAATATCCTTGGAAGAGCCAAAATTATGAATTGAAAAAAAATGGCCTAATGCACGAGAATCCATCACTGTTGAGCATGGGAAGGGTTAAGTGTATGTGGCCATACCTCCACATGCATAGAGGTTGTGTTCGTGACAGTGACTCAAAATATAGTGCCCAGGTCACAATGGAGTAATCTCCTCACTGTCTCTAAGGCTTGCCGCCCGTGCTCTTCATACCTCCTGCATATCTGATGTTTTTTGATACATGAATGAACATCAAGTGGATTTTACCGTTGTTTTTTCTTCTTCTGTTAATCAGGTATAAGAAAGACCAAGATGTTGTCTTTTTGGCCACATGTAGCCTCCACAATCTCTTAAATGCCTCGTTACTTTCGGAAAGTGGTCCTCCTCTGCTTGATTTTGAGGTTAGGAGATGTCACTGTCATTCCTGCTGGTCTACATATAATTAATAGTGTTGGTTTTAAGATTCATCTCTTAAGATTATTTGCTAAGTGATCTTTCTAACTTAGAGACTTAAAAGGACAGCTTGAGATATGTAGAAGAAACTTGCTTTCATTCTCTCCTTATTATATGCATTCAATGTTAATTTTTTTCCCTCAATTGTAACCAAGAATTCGGAAATGAAAGCAAGTCTCTACTCTGAAAGATTTTACTTGTAATGGTGTAGTTGAGAAAAGCATGATATCAAGTCTTTCATTTCTGTCAGTAATTTTTTTCGTCTCTTCTAAATTTTAAATGGGAATGGTGAAAACCATAAGATGAAGAAATGCGACAAATTGGTTCACAAATGGAGTCCCCGCTTATGTCTTTATCTAATCAACTCTTGTGTTAACATGTGTATATATGCATCACTTCATTAGATTTCCAATGTTGAAGTAACTTGTGTGATGTGACATTTAATTATTAATTAATACACTTACGTGTATGACATTTATAAATATACCTATATGTCTGTATATGTTATGAATATCCTTCTGTGATTCTTGTATCTTCGTAGAGATGGTACATTATTTGAATGCTATGTTTACTTCCGTTTGTGTGATGGCTATTTTATGTTTTATTCTTGCAGGACCTCACACTTATTTTATCAATACTTCTTCCTGTGGTTTGCATTAATAACAACAGCAAAGATTGTGCAGACTTTTCATTGGGACTGAAGGTGTTCATAGGATAGCCGTCAGCCTATTCTATCTATGAATTTGTTATTCATTATATGGTGATGACAAAATTGGGAAAATTCTAATTTGGTAGCTCCTCTTAAGCTCATGTTGTTGTCTCCTGAAAACTTGGGTGGTTGTAGCTTACTGTTTTGCGCTCTCTCTCTAAAACAGTAAATCATTAGATTCTATCTATCTAGTGACTTTTATTCTATTTGTATTTTTTGGCTGGTTCTATGGATACTTTGAAATTTCTCTTAATTCAAAATGTTCCTTTTGCCACCAATTCTTTTGACATCTTCTGTTTTCATTTTGCTGGAAGCATAATTTCTTTGAATTCATACATATTCACCAGGATGGACACTTTACCTACATAATCTTGGGATTTTCTTGAGTTGATTTTAGGCCGTTGGCGGTGAAGAACGAACTAATCCGTGACCTGGAAGTTATCCTACTGGCAGGGCGGAGCCAGCAGCACATGCCCACCCTCAAATTTTTTTTCTTAACATTACCTATATGTATTTTAAGTATTTCTTTAATATTTTTAACTATGCCCACCATATTTTTTTGGCACATTAATTAGTGTACACTTATATCAAATGAATATGAATTTTTTTGACAAATTTTGGACATGTTATGTACCTATCTAGATAAATTTTGAATATACCAGAATCATTTTATACTTTCTAAGGCTAAAAAAGATATAATATATATATACTAGCGATATCCCGTGACTGAAGTCACTGTATGATAAGACATGACACTATGCATGTATTAAAGTGTGTATAGCTGGAGTATGTATATAATGAGTGATTGTGTATATATAATGAATGTGTGTTGGAGTGTGNGGACACTATGCATGTATAGTTGGAGTATGTATATAATGAGTGATTGTGTATATATAATGAATGTGTGTTGGAGTGTGTGTAGTTGTGTGTTGTGGAGTGTTTGTGTTGGGTTTTTGAAATTTGGGAGGGAAAGTGTGAAATTTGGGGGGAAAAAATATACCCTCTATAAGTTCAAAAACCTAACTTTTGACATTTATTTTACTAATTACAAGAGAAATTATAGAGTGCGCATTGAACTGTATAATCAAATGAGTGGTAAATATCTAAGTGATAACATGATTGTGTATACAAAAAATAATACAGTTGTTATGCAATGGTTTCGAAGTACGAAAATTCACCGGAGTCAATTCTAAATGATTTTAATTAGCCTATATTTTGTAAAAGGATATGATTAGTCTTTTTTTTATTGCCGTCATTTGTATATACTAGGCTTACTAATTTTTGGTCGGTTGAGTTTAATGAACTTTTAAGTATTAAATAAGATGTAATTAAATATAAATTATTATCCTATTTCTATCGATTGAAGGGGAAAAAATTTAGTTTGTTGAAAAATTCGTACCCACCCTGGTACGATTTTCTGGCCCGTCCTTGCCTACTAGTACACTGCTTTGGTTGATTCATTGAAATCTAGATCCATCATAATCACCTTTTGAGAGGGATTTTAGATTTGTCATCTCCTTTAGATGGTTATAACAATTTGTTGGCCGACAAAAAGTGAAATCTTTGGTGGGATCAGGAAAACCCCTCCATGGCCCCCCTGCCCCTCACCGGGGGGTGTTTAATATGTCAAAGTACGGAGTTGGGTGTGCCATTTTATGGATGTCTAGCTTCAGGCTTGTATGTTTTTTCTTTTTTTTTTTTTTAAGGGGGATGGGGTGGAATTTTCCTATTTATTTCGTACAACTAACCATTGTTACATTCACTTATTTGCAACATCAACAGAGGTCCTCTCTCCCTCTTCCCCCATGCTCATATAATTAAAGACTGTGTTTTATGTTTTCCGAGTGCTTGATTTTTATTTCTTGCATCAGCCTGTTTATATGTACTCTTGCTCAACGCAGACCTATAATGAAGTCCAGCATTGCTTTCTGACAGTTGGTGTCGTGTACCCTGAGGATTTATTTGTTTTCCTGCTGAATGTGAGTTGTTCCTTGCTAGCATTATTTATTGTTAAGTTATAGTATCATTTAGTGGTCAATTTTATCTCACTTCCAACCCTCCCCCCAAGCCACCCCCCACCCAAACACAATCACAATAGAAATAGGTTCGGGAAAAATCTCGTGTGTTTATTAGCCTTTTTATTATGCTATAATTGTACAAATAAATTTTGTTTCCATTGACTTTTTTACTTCATGAACACATTGTTTTTTGATACCAGAAATGCAGGTTGAAAGAACAACCTTTGACTTTCGGTGCACTGTGTGTCTTTAAGCATCTGTTGCCGAGGTTTATTTCCTTACATAATCTCTTATCTTATTTACAGTTGTCCTTCATAACCTGACTTTCTCATCATTTCCTCGTGAGGTTATTGGAAGCTTGGCACAGTAAAAGGCCTTCACTGGTTGAAGCGGTGACGGTTTTACTAGAGGAGAGAAGTCTGGGGGTTCGTAAAGTACTTTCGGAGGTATTCAGTAATAAGTGGATTGCTGTAGATTTTGTCACAGAATCGGTAAAAGACATTTTAACTGCTATATAATATGTGATTGTGTTTGTTCTGGTTGTAGTTAATTGTGGTTATGGCTTCGCACTGCTACCTGATTGGTCCTTCGGGGGAGTTGTTTGTTGAGTATCTTGTGTGCAACTGTGCATTAAAAGATCAAGGGAGGGATGATTTTGAAAGCTCTAAGGAATTCTCTAAGTCAAGCGGAACTTATTATCCTTTCCAAAACAAGAGATTGGAGGTTTACATCTGAGCTTATATGTGGAAAATCTTATATGCCCATGTATTTCCTCCACCCTGTCAACTCAAACTCAAACATACCCCCACAGAGCAAAATAAAAGAAATGTCCTTCATTGTTGATTTGTATGTTCCAATTAGGCATCTGGATCCCCGCAATTTCAACCTTTGTCAATTTTGGGCATTCATGATTGATTTGTATGACCAATTACGCACCATGATCCTTGCAATTTCAAAATTTTTCAATTTCGTTCAATTCAATCAAGCATTGTTAAATTTGTTGGATCCCATTGGTGGAATCCTACGGCTTTTCGATGGGACCCACTGAATTTAATTTTGGATGATCAAACTTTACCCAAATTGACAGAATTTGAAATTGAGAGGTTCTAAATGCGTTCACTTATTGTGGTTTGTTATCATGTGCTAGCCTTTTCCACCGAGTGTTATAATCATTGCATATATATATGTGGTCATTTGTAATGTAGTGCAGTTAACTTAGTTCTCAATGTGCTCAGGTGAAGATTGAGGCGGTTTGTTCAACAGAGTTACGCACAATATGTGAAAAAGGTCTTCTTTTGATAACTATCACCATTCCTGAAATGGAGGTATACTATAATGTTTATCAGTATAGCTTTATTTTGCTTGGATAGTTCTTTCCATATTTACGTTGGGCATACATTATCATGACTAAAATCCTGTTTGTGATATTTGCAGCATGTTCTCTGGCCATTTTTGCTGAAGATGATCATACCACGGGATTACACTGATGCGGTTGCCACGGTTAGACTTCTTCGTCATCATTTGAATTCCCTGATAAAGCTGTAGTTTAGTTTGAGAGTGCAAATATCGGCACTTCCTTTTAACATTATCTCATGAATATGTTCTGCTGTGGGCTTGGAGTTTCGTGCATGTGGGAATAGTGCAGGCATTTTGTTTTAGTGGAGGTGGTGAATCCTAAGTGGTGGCAGTTTCGAAATTTGAGTATGATGATTAGACATTTTCACAGGTTTGCAAATGCATCTCAGAATTGTGCAGACGTAGATCTTCTCATAGTGATGTGATGCTTTCTGAATGTAAAGATCGGACCGATATTCCACATCCTCAGGTAAAATTAGTGATTGACGTTCACTTAGATATTTTATTTCTCCACATCTATTTGAATTTGCCAATGACAACTATCTGTGTGGCGCACACATATTCAGGNAACCGATATTCCACATCCTCAGGTAAAATTAGTGATTGACGTTCACTTAGATATTTTATTTCCCCACATCTATTTGAATTTGCCAATGACAACTATCTGTGTGGCGCACACATATTCAGGAACTTTTTGCCCGCCTGCTAGTCCTTTTGCACAATCCTCTAGCTAGGGAGCTGCTGGCGACTCAGATTTTGACAGTAAGGGGGTTTCTTATCTTTACCTAATTCTGGAGTTTCATAGATTGCCTTGAAATGTCAAAGCAAAGGTTACGAAAATTGTATCATTCTTACCATCTTCATGCATAATTCAGGAAATTGTAGTAATTACAAAGGTTAACCGCCTTTGCCAACAGCCACCCCCTGATCTATCATCTCCATCCTATTTCCTCCCGCCCCTTCTCTCTTTAAAACAAAAACTGTTTCTCATCTCTATCTCCACCACCCACCAATTATTTATCACATCTACCAGCCACCACATTCATCACCATCACTGCCAAGGTCTATCATCTCCACCACCCACCCGCTCATCACTGTAAAAACCACCAAACTATCACCTCAGGTCCTCAAACACTCATTTCTTACCTTAATATAAATCATCTATTTCCCACCCATGACCACCCATCAGCACAACTAGTCAACTAACACCACCGATCCACTGAAAACCCATCACCACTTTCTCCTCACATCATGACCATTAGCAGGGGTGGAGCCAGAAAATTATTTTTGGGCGGACACTAGACATTTTATCAAGTTTTAATTTTTCCTTGTTGTCGATATAAGATAATATATTTATATTTACTTACATCATATTTAATATTTTAAAATTTATTAAACCAAAAAACTAAAAATCGATAAGCATTTTTTTTTTTGTGGGAAGGAGAGGGGGAGAGGGAAGACAAAGTCTTTTCAAGGTAAGGAGTACCATTGGACCAAAGACCCATTGGTAAAAATCGATAAGCATAGTATGTACTAACAAAAAAAAATGATAAAACCATTTCTTCTAAAAAAGGCTATGTAAAATTATTTAAATTNTGTTTCTTATCTTTACCTAATTCTGGAGTTTCATAGATTGCCTTGAAATGTCAAAGCAAAGGTTAAGAAAATTGTATCATTCTTACCATCTTCATGCATAATTCAGGAAATTGTAGTAATTACAAAGGTTAACNGGTTTCTTATCTTTACCTAATTCTGGAGTTTCATAGATTGCCTTGAAATGTCAAAGCAAAGGTTACGAAAATTGTATCATTCTTACCATCTTCATGCATAATTCAGGAAATTGTAGTAATTACAAAGGTTAACCGCCTTTGCCAACAGCCACCCCCTGATCTATCATCTCCATCCTATTTCCTCCCGCCCCTTCTCTCTTTAAAACAAAAACTGTTTCTCATCTCTATCTCCACCACCCACCAATTATTTATCACATCTACCAGCCACCACATTCATCACCATCACTGCCAAGGTCTATCATCTCCACCACCCACCCGCTCATCACTGTAAAAACCACCAAACTATCACCTCAGGTCCTCAAACACTCATTTCTTACCTTAATATAAATCATCTATTTCCCACCCATGACCACCCATCAGCACAACTAGTCAACTAACACCACCGATCCACTGAAAACCCATCACCACTTTCTCCTCACATCATGACCATTAGCAGGGGTGGAGCCAGAAAATTATTTTTGGGCGGACACTAGACATTTTATCAAGTTTTAATTTTTCCTTGTTGTCGATATAAGATAATATATTTATATTTACTTACATCATATTTAATATTTTAAAATTTATTAAACCAAAAAACTAAAAATCGATAAGCATTTTTTTTTTTGTGGGAAGGAGAGGGGGAGAGGGAAGACAAACTCTTTTCAAGGTAAGGAGTACCATTGGACCAAAGACTCATTGGTAAAAATCGATAAGCATAGTATGTACTAACAAAAAAAAAATGATAAAACCATTTCTTCTAAAGAAGGCTATGTAAAATTATTTAAATTGGACAGTGTGATAGGTTTTTATTCTTTGAAAGCCTTGCACAAAACTAGATTATTTTATTTATATATATGTGTGTGTGTGTGTAATTATGCTATCACATATCTATTTGTTATCAATTCGATAGACAAACCAAGTTTTAATAGTAGTCTTTGTTATTTTTTTTGTACCAAAATCACTAATTCCTATTAAAATTGAAAATTCAATGCTAGATTAAAAAGTTTCATGAGTCCTAGTGTCGTAAAATTATGGTCGACTGTTTGGACCTCAAATAGAGATAAATCACAAATCTCATCGGAGGATCACACAACGGTTATAGGTCGCACAATTGTTGATCACTTTTTCTTTCTCAGTCTCTTTCATTCTCGTTCTAAATATGTGTCGGTCATTGGATTTTAGACTAACATAATCTTATTGAATAAATATATTTACATCAATTTTTTTAAATTTCTATCTCTAAGTAATTTTGTAATATTTAATTGTGACGTTGAGTAACTTGAGTTTTATGGATTACTTACAAAAGACACTATATTTTATTACAGTGACCTTAAGTTCTGTGCAATAATAAAAGAGTCTCATAATTTTTCAAACATTATGAATTGATCCCTATATATCTAAAACTTACCAAAGATAGGTTTATAACTTGTCCGAAACTTGTCTAAAAGTTCATAATCATTTGGATATAGTAATTGATGCAATAAGAAAATTATAGCGTGGGCATAATTAAAATATTTAATATGTACTAGTATCAATATATAACTAAATATTGGAAATTTTAACAAAAAAAAAAAAAAAAATTGAGGGTGGGCATGTGCCCCCCCAGGACCTAAGCTACCTCCGCCCCTGCCCATTAGCCATCTCTCAACACCTCTCAACACTTCCTGTCACCTCCTTCCCCAATCATCACTCGCCAGTGACCACCCAAACTTCCTTTTATCCTTCATTTTTCTCTAAAATAAGAATGTCACTTGTCTACCGACCCTCCACCACTGTCCCTTCCCGCTTCACCTCCACTACTTTATTTCTCCCTTTTTCCTTCTCTCCTTGTAAATAATAGGTTTTTTTTCTAGCTAGGGGTAATTTGATCAATTCTCAAAAGCTCTATTCTATTCGTTTGTGCAATGCAATCAACCAAATGTTGAAATGACCTGGAAGCATACATCCCAAGTAAAAGAATGTTGATGACCATTCCCATTCAATTCTAGTCTATTCCATTTTAGGACTCACCCCATTCTGGTCAATTTTCAATCATCAAACCAGATGAGGCACGAACAGATTTATATTTATGGTGTTTATAGAGCTTCATCTTCCATATTATTTTGGTATTGGTTCCAAAATAGTTTTATCAAGCGACAACTGAAATTTATTGTATATAATATGTATAAATGCGAAACTGTATGTAATATGACTAGCCATATCTTCATAGCATTTTTGCCTGCTGTAACGTATTTTAGTGTGTTGGCTAATCTTTGTTGTGTTGTGACCTTCTCCCTTGTCTGTTTCTATGCTACATTTCAGAACTATTGGAGTTCTAGCACTGTTAGAAAATTAAACATTTAATAAATTAAGTNTCCGCCCCTGCCCATTAGCCATCTCTCAACACCTCTCAACACTTCCTGTCACCTCCTTTCCCAATCATCACTCGCCAGTGACCACCCAAACTTCCTTTTATCCTTCCTTTTTCTCTAAAATAAGAATGTCACTTGTCTACCGACCCTCCACCACTGTCCCTTCCCGCTTCACCTCCACTACTTTATTTCTCCCTTTTTCCTTCTCTCCTTGTAAATAATAGGTTTTTTTTCTAGCTAGGGGTAATTTGATCAATTCTCAAAAGCTCTATTCTATTCGTTTGTGCAATGCAATCAACCAAATGTTGAAATGACCTGGAAGCATACATCCCAAGTAAAAGAATGTTGATGACCATTCCCATTCAATTCTAGTCTATTCCATTTTAGGACTCACCCCATTCTGGTCAATTTTCAATCATCAAACCAGATGAGGCACGAACAGATTTATATTTATGGTGTTTATAGAGCTTCATCTTCCATATTATTTTGGTATTGGTTCCAAAATAGTTTTATCAAGCGACAACTGAAATTTATTGTATATAATATGTATAAATGCGAAACTGTATGTAATATGACTAGCCATATCTTCATAGCATTTTTGCCTGCTGTAACGTATTTTAGTGTGTTGGCTAATCTTTGTTGTGTTGTGACCTTCTCCCTTGTCTGTTTCTATGCTACATTTCAGAACTATTGGAGTTCTAGCACTGTTAGAAAATTAAACATTTAATAAATTAAGTAATATGAATGTAATCTTCACCAGTCATATTCTAGCATAGTAGATCCTACTCAAGTCTTAATAAAAAACTGACCAATGGTGCTCCACTGTAAACAAAGTTATGGACGTTCTTGATTTCATCTACTCTTTATCTGTAACAGAGTGATGTACCTGATTGTGAAATAAATCTACTTCACCTGTGTCTTTTTGCACTTGCAGGTTCTTTGCTATTTGGCACCACTCTTTCCAAAGAATATCAACTTGTTTTGGCAAGATGAGGTAATTTTGTGGCACGTTTATTAATATAATGGTTGGTTTTTTGATTGTAAAATTTTAGTTTTTTTGGGTTCTGTGAATTGTTAATTTTGCTAATGCTTAAAAATTTTATTTGGAGGTGAGTGGAAATCTTGGGAAGTTGATTATGTAGGAGAGTGCAATGTCTCTACCAGTGTTATTTAAGGCGTAAAGCGAACCGAAGCGACCAAGGCTCCTAACGCCTAGGCGAGAAGCGAGAAGCGAAGCGACACGCTTTACCGAAGCAAAGCGAACAGTTAAAAAAAATATATATTTTAGTTTAATTACTTCTAAACAATCTAAGTTCTAATTTTATATATACTAAATATTTAAATGCAAGTAAAACCATAAA